CCTGCAGGTTTGAATTATTTAAGAAAAAAACATTTCCACTTGTCCTGCCAAACACGTTGATCAATGCCCACTTAAGCGATGTGATCATCTCCTCCCGTTTCGTAAGGCCTCCTCTCTCCCTTCAGGTGACTAAGCGAGTCTGCAATCTTCCTTCCTTTAATTGGATCATTTCCAGGTTCGTCTCATCCTTCCCGTTTTTACAACTTCACACAATCATTTTTTCTCCCGTGCACAGGGCAACGGGTTTCAGGGCTGGAGTCATTTCGTGGCGCGCATGTCTCTAGAACCTTCCGCATATCTGCACACGATGGCGCGGGGCAGCCCTTTATGGACGCGGGTGTTCCAGACAGACTGGCACCTTTTTCTGCTGGCAGTCTTGCTTTTCCTTCTTCCTGGGTTGACCTGCCTGTGTCCTTCACACATCGTTTTAGCTCAGAGGTTTTGTTCTGTCGCCTCGGGACCCGTTGTGGCACTTCTGGTGACGGGATCACCTAATATTGTAAACACAGCCACTGTTTATCAAGCACTGAGCAAGCGCTGCGTCTGCAGCCTTAGGTATGTAATACAAACCACACCCAGCCTTCCCCCCTGCCCCTTGACAACACCTCGCTGTCCCCTACCGATCTGTCACTTCCAGGCCTAGCACAGTGCCTGGCCCGTAGCAGATGTTCAAGAACGAGGAGCCGTTATGGTTATGAAAACAAGCATAGGACTTATTCCCGCTTGACCCCTGGCGCCTGGCACAGGCTCTGGCACATCAGTGGCTGAGCGTCGACCTGTGAACCAGTTCGATTTCCAGTCAGGGCACAGGCCCGGGTTGCAGGTTCGATCCCCGGTTGGGGTGTGTGCGATGTTTCTCTCTCCTCTCTCTCTGAAAATCAATTTTTAAAACTAAAAAAAAATTTTTTAAACCAACCAAATGCACTACTAATGTAATATTAACAATAATGAAACCCTCCTATTCCCTGGTTTTTCAGTAAGATCACATTTCTTGACTTTCACTTATTTATATACCAAACTGTTTTGGATTGCCCTGTGGTCCGCTTATGGTTCTTTGGACGTAACATCCCTGTTTGGGGGGTTCGTAGTAAAGCGATATCCTGGCTCAGCTCCCCGTCTGAGGACTTTCTTCTACAACACTCCCACCAAGTGGCCACTCGGACGGCACTCGGACGCCCAGATTGAGAGCTCACCGCCTGCAGAGGCAGCGCGATTCATCTTTCCATCGCTTGTTGGAAATCACTGCGTTGGGCTGAAATATGCCCGACTCTGTCCACTGACTCCAGCTCCCCTCCTTAGGGCCCCGTGGGACACACATAAACCCCTTATGCACGACCCCTTCCCATATCCGATTGCACAGGGACCGCCTCCGTCCTAGTGGCTGGAATAGGGCTCTCGGAGACCTTTAAAGGGCTGACTGCGTGCAGGGAGCAGGTGGTGTATCGGCAGGCAGGCCGCCCAGCACGGAGGAGCCGCTCCGAGGAGTGCCGTCTGCTGAGAGGCCCCTGTGCAGAAATGGCTGCTGGGCTCTAGATTTTTAAAAATCTTCTTAGAGTTTGTTTTTAAATAAGAGAACATTTATTTGGTAAACCTAGGAAACAAGTTATAGACAGCTCTCTTAGGGCTTGGGAAGGAGGAAGGTGATGGCAATGTGCTTGCGGGGCAGGGGAGGGGCCAGGGAAAGGGAAAGGCTTGGGCAGTTCCAGGGAGGACAGGCTCCTGGGAGGGAGGGACAGGCTCCTGGGAGGGAGGACAGGCTACTGGGAGGGAGGGACAGGCTACTGGGAGGGAGGACAGGCTCCCAGGAGGGAGGACTGGCTCCCGGGAGGGCGGACAAACTTGGTCCTCAGTCCTAAGGGCTTTAAGGTGGGGATTTTAGGGAAGGTCCCAGGGGAAGATCTCAACAGAAGGTCCAGCAGCTTTCCAGGTGTGTCCTTTCAGGGTTGTGGTCTCCACGGATTGATGGGCCGGCACCAGGGCGGGGTCATTATTCCCTGCAGCTGGTCCTGGCCCCGGCTGTGGCTGGTTTTGTTGCTTTTTCTGGGCCTGGAGCTGAAATGCAACTGAGGCCTCGATGTCATCTCTCGGGAGGAAAGGCCAGGGGGTCCAAACCCCACGACCAGCCATGTTCTAGGGGAGGAGGGTCACCCTGGGGCTTTCCACCGTGGTGACCTTCTGCCGCTGGCCCATCGTCCTCGCTCTGTTCATGTCTAACTGCCCACCACATCCCCCCTCAAGGATCTTGGCTCTGAAATCTGTCAGAGAAAAGGGGCTCAGGGGCTCTCATTAGCTGCTTTCCTTCAGAGCCAAGAGATCCTCGCTCTCTGTCAGAGGGACGATGAGGCCTGGGCACAGGAGGTGGCCGTGGTGCCTCGAGGCGGTATTCTCTGAGTGCAAGTAGAGCTCGTAACCTGGTGGAGACAAACTGTTACAAATGTTTGTATTATCGGGGCAAAAGCTAGAACAGCAAGAATTATGACAAATGGTCTGGTGGAAGGAAAAAGATATTTTAGTTCTAACTCCAAATCTAAGGATGGGAGAAGAATGAAAACATTCGTTTGGAGGGTTGAAGTCAAATATTTAAGAAAATTAGGAAAATTCAGGATTTAGTTCAATTCATAGGTGAAAAATAAAACTCCGAAGACAATTAATTAACGTCTTATATTCACAACTGTATTACAGTCGACTAGAGGCCCAGTGCATGGATTCGTGCACATTAAAAGGAAATTAACTAGAAGGTGGCCAAAGGGGTGGAACGGCGCCTTCCGAGCTCAGAAACAGCCGGCAGAGAAACAAGTTAACCCAGAAATTGGGCCTTTAGACAGTTGACGTGGAAATTGGGTCACCTCAGATCTTTGCTCCCCGGACCACACTGGCTCCTGCATTCTCATTTCCAGCAAGTGTCATGTTTAATTTGGAAATGCGACAGATTCTGAGCGCCTTTCCCCCAAGTTCACAGGGTTCCTGGGAGGATTAAACGGGACAAGGAAGAGGCAAAAGCCTTGGTGTCCTGTGCAATGCCACCTAGGGCAGCAGCAGCCCCTCGGGCTCAGGAGAGAAACGAGGACGGGGGACCCCCAGGCTGCGGCCCCGGCGAGCATTGCTCACCCGACAATGAGCATAAATCTCAGACCTTCACGTGCTGATGGGCAGAGCCCACCGCACCTTATGCACCTCATGCACCTCACATCCATCCCCGGAGGATGATAATGGACACGCTGACAAACGACGGAGAAACAGACACGGATACTTGTCTAACAAGTGAGCTCTTTCCGTGAAGCCAGCTTCCATCATGAAACTCTTTTGTTACGGACGAGCGTAGAGGAATTTTTATGTGACTAGAATTCAGTGGTTCTCAGCCTTCTGGCCCTTTCAATACAGTTCCTCACGTTGTGACCCAACCATCACATTATTTTCGTGGCTTCGTCATAACTGGCATGTTGCTACTGTGATGAATCGTCATGTAAATATCTGATATGCAGGATGGTCTTAGGCAACCCCTGTGAAAGGGTCGTTCGACCGCCAAAGGGGCCGCGACCCACAGGTTGAGAACCGCTGGACTAGATGATCAGAACCTGTTATAGCTAAATCGCCCCCGAGCACTGACCGTCTTCCCAACTCCCTCCCCTCCTCTCCCCTCCCCTTCCCTCCTTTCTTACGACAGGACTACAGGTCCTGGTAGAACCCAGACGACACTGCAGATTTCCTGACTCCTTCTCTTTATGCGGACCAAGGGAGAGAGAGTTCTCTGATAGCTTTTTTAAAAAAATATATTTTATTGTTTTTTTACAGAGAGGAAGGGAGAGGGATAGAGAGTTAGAAACATCGATGAGAGAGAAACATCGATCAGCTGCCTCCTGCACACCCCCCACTGGGGATGTGCCCGCAACCAAGGTACATGCCCTTGACTGGAATCAAACCTGGGACCCTTCAGTCCACAGGCCGACGCTCTATCCACTGAGCCACACCGGCCAGGGCTAAGGCTCTCTCTTTTTTTTTTAATAAAATAATTTCTAATAAGCTATTGCAAACATAAAGGAAAGCCGAAGAACAGACACCCAGATGTTTAAAGGTTCGTATCCTCTGCTTAGAGTCTTTTTAAAACATGATGTGTCAGCACAGGATGCTCATTCCTGAAATCAATCAAAATGTATTTTAAAAAATAAACTAAAACGGCCGTGACCGGTGTTGCTCAGTGGATAGAGCGGAAGGCCCCGCTACCCGACGGCCCCGCCACCGGACCGCAGGGAGAGGTGAGGGAGCCATTGAACTAGTGATGAGGTTCCACTTCCGGTCAAGTTCAGCTCCAAGGTCGCCACCTAATGACTCTGCCCTGATCCCGGCAGAGCCAGTTCCTCCGACAGCCTCGCCCTGAGGGCCACGGCCCCTCGGACACCGATGGATCCGACCCGGTCCCGCCCGGAGCTCAGGAGCAGGTGCACAATAGGGGCTGGTAGTGCTCGAATGGAGGCGTTCACAAAGGGCTCGCGGAGCCAACTTTCCCCGTCGCGGTGGGGAGCGGCCCTTCCGCCCTTCACATCAGACCCGCGCGCAGCCCGCCTCACCTCC